CAGGATGTTATGATGAAGAGAGTTATATATGATTTTGTCTTTACAGGATGTTATGATGAAGAGAGTTATATATGATTTTGTCTTTACAGGATGTTATGATGAAGAGAGTTATATATGATTTTGTCTTTACAGGATGTTATGATGAAGAGAGTTATATATGATTTTGTCTTTACAGGATGTTATGATGAAGAGAGTTTTATATGATTTTGTCTTTACAGGATGTTATGATGAAGAGAGTTTTATATGATTTTGTCTTTACAGGATGTTATGATGAAGAGAGTTTTATATGATTTTGTCTTTACAGGATGTTATGATGAAGAGAGTTTTATATGACTTTGTGTTTACAGGATGTTATGATGAAGAGAGTTTTATATGGTTTTGTCTTTACAGGATGTTATGATGAAGAGAGTTTTATATGGTTTTGTCTTTACAGGATGTTATGATGAAGAGAGTTATATATGATTTTGTCTTTACAGGATGTTATGATGAAGAGAGTTATATATGATTTTGTCTTTACAGGATGTTATGATGAAGAGAGTTATATATGATTTTGTCTTTACAGGATGTTATGATGAAGAGAGTTTTATATGATTTTGTCTTTACAGGATGTTATGATGAAGAGAGTTTTATATGATTTTGTCTTTACAGGATGTTATGATGAAGAGAGTTATATATGATTTTGTCTTTACAGGATGTTATGATGAAGAGAGTTATATATGATTTTGTCTTTACAGGATGTTATGATGAAGAGAGTTTTATATGGTTTTGTCTTTACAGGATGTTATGATGAAGAGAGTTATATATGATTTTGTCTTTACAGGATGTTATGATGAAGAGAGTTATATATGATTTTGTGTTTACAGGATGTTATGATGAAGAGAGTTATATATGATTTTGTCTTTACAGGATGTTATGATGAAGAGAGTTATATATGATTTTGTGTTTACAGGATGTTATGATGAAGAGAGTTATATATGATTTTGTGTTTACAGGATGTTATGATGAAGAGAGTTATATATGATTTTGTGTTTACAGGATGTTATGATGAAGAGAGTTATATATGATTTTATGTTTACAGGATGTTATGATGAAGAGAGTTATATATGATTTTGTCTTTACAGGATGTTATGATGAAGAGAGTTTTATATGATTTTGTCTTTACAGGATGTTATGATGAAGAGAGTTATATATGATTTTGTCTTTACAGGATGTTATGATGAAGAGAGTTATATATGATTTTGTGTTTACAGGATGTTATGATGAAGAGAGTTATATATGATTTTGTCTTTACAGGATGTTATGATGAAGAGAGTTATATATGATTTTGTCTTTACAGGATGTTATGATGAAGAGAGTTATATATGATTTTATGTTTACAGGATGTTATGATGAAGAGAGTTATATATGATTTTGTCTTTACAGGATGTTATGATGAAGAGAGTTATATATGATTTTGTCTTTACAGGATGTTATGATGAAGAGAGTTTTATATGATTTTGTCTTTACAGGATGTTATGATGAAGAGAGTTATATATGATTTTGTGTTTACAGGATGTTATGATGAAGAGAGTTATATATGATTTTGTCTTTACAGGATGTTATGATGAAGAGAGTTATATATGATTTTGTCTTTACAGGATGTTATGATGAAGAGAGTTATATATGATTTTGTGTTTACAGGATGTTATGATGAAGAGAGTTATATATGATTTTGTGTTTACAGGATGTTATGATGAAGAGAGTTATATATGATTTTGTCTTTACAGGATGTTATGATGAAGAGAGTTATATATGATTTTGTGTTTACAGGATGTTATGATGAAGAGAGTTATATATGATTTTGTGTTTACAGGATGTTATGATGAAGAGAGTTTTATATGATTTTGTCTTTACAGGATGTTATGATGAAGAGAGTTATATATGATTTTGTGTTTACAGGATGTTATGATGAAGAGAGTTATATATGATTTTGTGTTTACAGGATGTTATGATGAAGAGAGTTATATATGATTTTGTGTTTACAGGATGTTATGATGAAGAGAGTTATATATGATTTTGTGTTTACAGGATGTTATGATGAAGAGAGTTTTATATGATTTTGTCTTTACAGGATGTTATGATGAAGAGAGTTTTATATGATTTTGTCTTTACAGGATGTTATGATGAAGAGAGTTATATATGATTTTGTCTTTACAGGATGTTTATATGATTTTGTCTTTACAGGATGTTATGATGAGGAGAGTTATATATGATTTTGTGTTTACAGGATGTTATGATGAAGAGAGTTTTATATGATTTTGTCTTTACAGGATGTTTATATGATTTTGTCTTTACAGGATGTTATGATGAAGAGAGTTTTATATGATTTTGTCTTTACAGGATGTTATGATGAAGAGAGTTATATATGATTTTGTCTTTACAGGATGTTTATATGATTTTGTCTTTACAGGATGTTATGATGAAGAGAGTTATATATGATTTTGTCTTTACAGGATGTTATGATGAAGAGAGTTATATATGATTTTATGTTTACAGGATGTTATGATGAAGAGAGTTTTATATGATTTTGTCTTTAGACTTTACAGGATGTTATGATGAAGAGAGTTATATATGATTTTGTCTTTACAGGATGTTATGATGAAGAGAGTTATATATGATTTTATGTTTACAGGATGTTATGATGAAGAGAGTTTTATATGATTTTGTCTTTACAGGATGTTATGATGAAGAGAGTTATATATGATTTTGTGTTTACAGGATGTTATGATGAAGAGAGTTATATATGATTTTGTCTTTACAGGATGTTATGATGAAGAGAGTTTTATATGATTTTGTCTTTACAGGATGTTATGATGAAGAGAGTTATATATGATTTTGTCTTTACAGGATGTTATGATGAAGAGAGTTTTATATGATTTTGTGTTTACAGGATGTTATGATGAAGAGAGTTATATATGATTTTATGTTTACAGGATGTTATGATGAAGAGAGTTTTATATGATTTTGTCTTTACAGGATGTTATGATGAAGAGAGTTATATATGATTTTGTCTTTACAGGATGTTATGATGAAGAGAGTTATATATGATTTTGTGTTTACAGGATGTTATGATGAAGAGAGTTATATATGATTTTGTCTTTAGACTTTACAGGATGTTATGATGAAGAGAGTTATATATGATTTTGTCTTTACAGGATGTTATGATGAAGAGAGTTATATATGATTTTGTCTTTACAGGATGTTATGATGAAGAGAGTTATATATGATTTTGTGTTTACAGGATGTTATGATGAAGAGAGTTTTATATGATTTTGTGTTTACAGGATGTTATGATGAAGAGAGTTTTATATGATTTTGTCTTTACAGGATGTTATGATGAAGAGAGTTTTATATGATTTTGTGTTTACAGGATGTTATGATGAAGAGAGTTATATATGATTTTGTGTTTACAGGATGTTATGATGAAGAGAGTTATATATGATTATGTGTTTACAGGATGTTATGATGAAGAGAGTTTTATATGATTTTGTGTTTACAGGATGTTATAATGAAGAGAGTTATATATGATTTTGTCTTTACAGGATGTTATGATGAAGAGAGTTATATATGATTTTGTCTTTACAGGATGTTATGATGAAGAGAGTTATATATGATTTTGTCTTTACAGGATGTTATGATGAAGAGAGTTTTGTATGATTTTGTGTTTACAGGATGTTATGATGAAGAGAGTTATATATGATTTTGTCTTTACAGGATGTTATGATGAAGAGAGTTATATATGATTTTGTCTTTACAGGATGTTATGATGAAGAGAGTTTTATATGATTTTGTCTTTACAGGATGTTATGATGAAGAGAGTTTTATATGATTTTGTGTTTACAGGATGTTATGATGAAGAGAGTTATATATGATTTTGTGTTTACAGGATGTTATGATGAAGAGAGTTATATATGATTTTGTGTTTATAGGATGTTATGATGAAGAGAGTTATATATGATTTTGTCTTTACAGGATGTTATGATGAAGAGAGTTATATATGATTTTGTCTTTACAGGATGTTATGATGAAGAGAGTTATATATGATTTTGTCTTTACAGGATGTTATGATGAAGAGAGTTTTATATGATTTTGTGTTTACAGGATGTTATGATGAAGAGAGTTTTATATGATTTTGTCTTTACAGGATGTTATGATGAAGAGAGTTATATATGATTTTGTCTTTACAGGATGTTATGATGAAGAGAGTTATATATGATTTTGTCTTTACAGGATGTTATGATGAAGAGAGTTATATATGATTTTGTGTTTACAGGATGTTATGATGAAGAGAGTTTTATATGATTTTGTCTTTACAGGATGTTATGATGAAGAGAGTTATATATGATTTTGTGTTTACAGGATGTTATGATGAAGAGAGTTATATATGATTTTGTCTTTACAGGATGTTATGATGAAGAGAGTTATATATGATTTTGTCTTTACAGGATGTTATGATGAAGAGAGTTATATATGATTTTGTCTTTACAGGATGTTATGATGAAGAGAGTTATATATGATTTTGTCTTTACAGGATGTTATGATGAAGAGAGTTATATATGATTTTGTCTTTACAGGATGTTATGATGAAGAGAGTTATATATGATTTTGTGTTTACAGGATGTTATGATGAAGAGAGTTATATATGATCTTGTCTTTACAGGATGTTATGATGAAGAGAGTTATATATGATTTTGTCTTTACAGGATGTTATGATGAAGAGAGTTATATATGATTTTGTCTTTACAGGATGTTATGATGAAGAGAGTTATATATGATTTTGTCTTTACAGGATGTTATGATGGAGAGAGTTATATATGATTTTGTCTTTACAGGATGTTATGATGAAGAGAGTTTTATATGATTTTGTCTTTACAGGATGTTATGATGAGGAGAGTTATATATGATTTTGTCTTTACAGGATGTTATGATGAAGAGAGTTATATATGATTTTGTCTTTACAGGATGTTCTGATGCTTGTATATTCTCCATGGTGTGGATTTTGCGCCAGTTTTGCTCATATTTACCTGAGTCTTGCAAGATATTTTAAAGCAGCCAAAAACATTATTTTTTCAAGGTAATATTTAATTTCATTTATACATGTAGATTAAAACATTATCTTTAACATGATATTGCATCTGTTTTTAATGTCAGACATTTCAATTCAAAGGTTGTTAAGGCATTTTATTACTGAAGATTAGTTCAAAGTCATAAGAATTAAAAGGAAGAAAATGAAAAAATAGGTATTCAAAGTAAATGATATGTTGTGGTTCTGGACATTTTGGTTAAGAAATAGACCTTTTTATACGACCGCAAAAAAATTTTGTGGTCGTATATTGGTATGACGTTGGCGTCGTCGTCCGAAGACACATTGGTTTTCGCACTCTAACTTTAGTTTAAGTGAATGGATCTCTTTGAAATTTTACCATAAGGTTACATACCACAAAAGGAAGGTTGGGATTGATTTTGGGGGTTATGGTACCAACAGTTAAGGAATTAGGGGCCAAAAAGGGGCCAAAAATAAGCATTTTCTAGTTTCCAGACAATAACTGTGGAACGGTGTATGGATCTCTCTGAAATTATACCACAAAGGGATGGTTAGGATTTGCTTTGGGGGGTTATGGCTCAAACCGTTTAGGAATTAGGGGCAAAAAAGGGGGAAAAACAAGGTTGTCCTGGTTAATGGACAAATACTTTAGTACAAAACATAATTTAAAGCAGTGTAAGGGAGATAAATCAAATTTATCATTGAAATTACCTCCCTTACACTGCTTTTAAATTATGTATAAAGTAATGGTTAATGAACAATTAAGATAATATAAAACAGTGTAAGGGAGGTAATCCAAATACAACGTTTTGGTTACTTCCCTTACACTGCTTTAAATTATGTTTGAAGAAATGCATATTTATAAAGGAAGACCAGTAAAAATATCTGCAAATGTTGCATCTTTTTTTTTTACAAAAAAATCCATATGAAAGATTTGACACTATATTTTAAATTCTATTATAAAATAGATTAAGTAAGCACTATGGTAAATTTAAATGGGTAATTATGGTTGCAAACTCCATTGGTAATTTGAATTGAGATTATGACCATATCTTGAGGGAAAGAATTTTTGGGGGAAAAAAGGGGGGGGGGGGTAAAAAGAAATTGTGGGGGGTCAATTTTTTCTCATTTCAGATTTCAGAAATTAAAAAGAATTATTCTTCAAATATTATTTTTTTTTCAAATTTCAAATGTTGAAAAATTTCAAGAAGTAATCTTTAATTGCACAGTATGGCGCATTAGATTTGTAAAATCTTTGACCACATTTATTTATTTGTTATGCCAAATCTAACCGTGTATTTAGATTTTTAATTTTGGGTCCAGTTTTCAAATTGGTCTACATTAAGGTCCAAAGGGTCCAAAATTAAACTTTGTTTGATTTTAACAAAAATTAAATATTTGGGGTTCTTTGATATGCTGAATCTAAACATGTATTTAGATTTTTGATTTTTGGCCCAGTTTTCAAGTTGGTCCAAGTTGGGGTCCAAAATTAAACTTTGTTTGATTTCAACAAAAATTGAATATATGGGGTTCTTTGATATGCTGAATGTAACCATGTATTTAGATTTTTTATTTGTGGACCCCGCTATCAAATTGGTTCATATTGAGGTCAAAAGGGTCCAAAATTAAACTTTGTTTGATTTCATCAAAAATTAAATTATTGGGGTTCTTTGATATGCCAAATCTAACCGTGTATTTAGATTCTTAAATTTTGGTTCCGTTTTCAAATTGGTCTACATAAAGGTCCAAAGGGTCCAAAATTAAACTTAGTTTGATTTTAACAAAAATTGAATTCTTGGGGTTCTTTGATATGCTGAATCTAAACATGTGTTTAGATTTTTGATTATGGGCTCAGTATTCAAGTTGGTCCAAGTTGGGGTCCAAAATTAAACTTTGTTTGATTTCAACAAACATTGAATATATGGGGTTCTTTGATATGCTGAATCTAAACATGTATTTAGATTTATGATTTTTGGCCCAGTTTTCAAGTTGGTCCAAGTTGGGGTCCAAAATTAAACTTTGTTTGATTTCAACAAAAATTGAATATATGGGGTTCTTTGATATGCTGAATCTAACCATGTATTTAGATTTTTTATTTGTGGACCCCGCTATCAAATTGGTTCATATTGAGGTCAAAAGGGTCCAAAATTTGTTTGATTTCATCAAAAATTAAATTATTGGGGTTCTTTGATATGCCAAATCTAACCGTGTATGTAGATTTTTAATTTTGGGTCCTATTTTTTAAATTGGTCTACATTAAGGTCCAAAGGGTCCAAAATTAAACTTAGTTTGATTTTAACAAAAATTGAATTCTTGGGGTTCTTTGATATGCTGAATCTAAACATGTGTTTAGATTTTTGATTATGGGCTCAGTATTCAAGTTGGTCCAAGTTGGGGTCCAAAATTAAACTTTGTTTGATTTCAACAAACATTGAATATATGGGGTTCTTTGATATGCTGAATCTAAACATGTATTTAGATTTTAGAATTTTGGCCCAGTTTTCAAGTTGGTTCAAATTGGGGTCCAAAATTAAACTTTGTTTGATTTCAACAAAAATTGAATATATGTGGTTCTTTGATATGCTGAATATAACCATGTATTTAGATTTTTTATTTGTGGGCCCCGCTATCAAATTGGTTCATATTGAGGTCAAAAGGGTCCAAAATTAAACTTTGTTTGATTTCATCAAAAATTGAAATATTGGGGTTCTTTGATATGCCAAATCTAACCGTGTTTTTAGATTTTTAATTTTGGGTCCCGTTTTTTAAATTGGTCTACATTAAGGTCCAAAGGGTCCAAAATTAAACTTAGTTTGATTTTAACAAAAATTGAATTCTTGGGGTTCTTTGATATGCTGAATCTAAACATGTGTTTAGATTTTTGATTATGGGCCCGGTTTTCAAGTTGGTCCAAGTTGGGGTCCAAAATTAAACTTTTTTTGATTTCAACAAAAATTGAATATATGGGGTTCTTTGATATGCTGAATCTAACCATGTATTTAGATTTTTTATTTGTGGGCCCCGCTATCAAATTGGTTCATATTGAGGTCAAAAGGGTCCAAAATTAAACTTTGTTTGATTTCATCAAAAATTGAATTATTGGGGTTCTTTGATATTCTAAATCTAACCGTGTATTTAGATTTTTAATTTTGGGTCCCGTTTTTTAAATTGGTCTACATTAAGGTCCAAAGGGTCCAAAATTAAACTTTGTTTGATTTCAACAAAAATTGAATATATGGGGTTCTTTGATATGCTGAATCTAACCATGTATTTTGATTTTGGACATTGGACCATAATAGGTAAATTAAAAAAATTCAAGTTCTTAGACCACATTCTTTCTGTGTCAGAAACCTATGCTGTGTCAAATATTTAATCACAATCCAAATTCAGAGCTGTATCAAGCTTGAATATTGTGTCCATACTTGCCCCAACTGTTCAGGGTTTGACCTCTGCGGTCGTATCAAGCTGCGCCCAGCGAAGCATTTTATTGTTGCTGTTATAACAGGTACATAGCATAGTGAATACTAATATTAAATGACATGCCATCTTCAATATTTTGCTCAGCTTATAAGTTGGTAAATTTTGTAATTTTTTTCTTGCAAATTCAATACATTTATACTGTTATAATTAGCTTAGTAACCAAGGAGAGCATACTTAGGGTCCGTGTGTTACATCCTCACTCCGATCCAAGGAAAACTTGAGAAATAAAAAAATAAATGATTAAATTTAGTACCCTGTAATATCCTGGAAATAAATTACTTGATGTATATTTTTTGCTTGTGATACTAGGGGATATTGTTTTCCAGTCTGTGAAGTGGTTCTTCCATTAATTAATTTTAGGTTAAAGTTGTGGTGAAAGGTAGTTTACGATGACTTTTGGTCTTTAGTGGCATAAGGCAGCAGTGTTCCCGCCTGCCCAAAATAGAAGGGCGGCCCGCCATTGGTGCCCTTACCCCCGCCCTTCTGCCCTCCAAAGCCTAAAAATGCCACCTTCTGCCTTTTCAAAAAATAAACTTTCCAAATTACATGCCTACCGGCGTTTCTGGTAAAATTGTTTCCTGAGTGTAACACTTTAATTAACTGACAATGGCATAAATTTAAATACCTTGCCTTTGTCAGTTTTATCACCTCTGTTAATGATTGTTTACTGCTAATCAGGTGATTTAAGATAATTGAACAAATACTAGGTATATTTATTATAGAATGAAAATGTCCACATGTTATCCATTTGTAATGTTTATGTACAGGATGTACAACATAAAAACTTTATTTTTAAAAGTAGGCATTAAATAAAATTGAAATGTTAAACAATTTTAAAGGCAAACATAGCTTTTACTAAATTGGTTAAAGAAAGTTTTGTTTCATAACCCTGAGTATGAAATTTAAAGAAATTTGTATTTTGAACAAAAAACAAAATTGCACCACTTCCTGTTTTACTTCTTGTATTTATACTCCTCACATAAGAACACTTAACAAATGCTTTTATTCATAACAATTATGGAGAAAAAAGGTAACTGTTAATACCTTCTGCAATGTATGCATTAGTAAAATATTATCATATCCTGTCTCACCTGTTATATTTATAAAACTCCTAACTTAGGAGCACTTTGGTGTGCACTTAAAAAATACTTTTTTGTAACAATTTAAATGAGAAAAAAGTAACTTTCAATAACATATAATTTAAGTTTGAACAAGTAATTTAAATTTACATAATTTTATTGCATTAAAAAATCATGTTTGCATGTATACCTCCATCTTTCAAAACTACTTGTTTATTTTTATAGACTGGTAGCAGTAATAAAACATTGAAATTTCTAATGATTATTTTCCTTACCAAATGTACAAGTTTGTTTAGATTAAAATCAAAATGATATGCTTTGCATCATGGTATGATAATTTGATAAAAAAAAAATCCTACTGGAATCAATATTAAGAACACAATTATTTCTAAATGTGCTTGAAATACAACTAAATAAATGTCCTCTAGTTGAGCCTAGCAATATTCAAGGTAATTTAAACACTGTCCAACAGTGCCTTTACAATCTGGGTTATTGCGCTAAAGTGTCCTTTCAGACAACTAGCACCCTTCTGCCCTGAGATTCAAGCTGGAACACTGGGCAGTATTCTATGAAGTTGTATTCACATCAACTTGATACTAAGTACACATGTATATTATGAAGTTGATTTCCATAAGAAGTTTTGACCCAGAGTTCATGGTTCACAAAATAAAAATGTGATAATGCCAGCAATGCATAGTGTCCTCGGTGTTCTTGTTCCATAATTAATGTTGATGTACTTATACTTAACTCTCTTTAAGGAAAAAATATTAAGTAAAAATGTAGTAGTATGATCATATATTATTTTAGTATCTATCTTCGTCAAAAAGAGTGAAGTATTTGAAATTAAGGTTTTTTTTATGGCATTAAGTGTTACCCTCCATCCTTCCTTCCATCCGTCTATCTGTCTTTTCATCCATGATTTCTTCCTTCCGCCTGTCCGTCCCAAAAGTTTTTTTCACATTTTATAAGCAAGCTTGAGTGGGGGCATTCGTGTCCTCAGACACATTCTTCTTTTATATAACACTTGTTGAAAGTTTTTTAAACAGACTTGAATCATTATAATGTACTCAGCATAATTTTGTACAAAATCTGTTTGACCTATAGATATATTTTGTAATTAGTACATTTTAGAAAGTCAAGAAGTTCAATTAATGATAGATCTTTCTTTTTATTCATTTAGAATAAATGGAGACAACAATGATTTACCATGGCAGTATACAATAGACAGATATCCTACATTGCTGTTCTTTCCAGCTCACAGGTATGTCTTTTTTATAGACTTCTTTATATATCATACAATAATATTCTTCATTGTGCTTCTTTTTATGCCCCACCTAGGGGCATTATGCTTTTTGGTCTGTGCGTTGAAGTCCAATCAACTTGAAACTTAGTACACATGTTCCCTATGATATGATCTTTCTAATTTTAATGCCAAATTAGAGTTTTGACCCCAATTTCACAGTCCACTGAACATAGAAAATGATAGTGCGAGTGGGGCATCCATATACTATGGATACATTCTTGTTACCTCAGAGGTAAGTCTTACAACTGTTCTATGAAACGAGGCATACACTTATATATATATATCTTACATGGTTAAGTTCCCAGGTAATATTTTGAAATAAGTTTGATAAAGTGAGTGTTCCATAGATAAATAAATATATTTGAAGCTTCTGAATCTGATACTATTTCTTTTTGACCATGTCAGTTTTGTTTATTAGGGCCCCGCCGAATGGCGGACGCCCTATAGTGATCAGTCTGTCCGTAACAAATTGTGTCCGCTCTATATCTAGAGAACCGTTATGATTTCAAAGTTTATACTTGACATGTATATAAACCAACACCAGAGAGTGTGTCATAATTTATGTACAACTTCCTAGGTCAAAGGTCAAGGTCAAAAACTTTGGTTTTAGTTGACAACCCCATGTCCTATGGTAAAGATCGTGTCCGCTCTATATCTTGAGAACCGTTATGATTTCAAAGTTTATACTTGACATGTATATAAACCAACACCAGAGGGTGTTTCATAATTTATGTACAACTTCCTAGGTCAAAGGTCAAGGTAAAAAACTTTGGTTTTAGTTGACAACCCCATGTCCTATGGTTAAGATCGTGTCCGCTCTATATCTTGAGAACCGTTATGATTTCAAAGTTTATACTTGACATGTATATGAACCAACACCAGAGGGTGTGTCATAATGTATGTACAACTTCCTAGGTCAAAGGTCAAGGTCAAAAACTTTGGTTTTAGTTGACAACCCTGTGTCCTATGGTAAAGATCGTGTCCGCTCTATATCTTGAGAACCGTTATGATTTCAAAGTTCATACTTGACATGTATATTAACCAACACCAGAGGATGTGTCATAATGTATGTACAACTTCCTAGGTCAAAGGTCAAGGTCAAAAACTTTGGTTTTAGTTGACAGCCCCATGTCCTATGGTAAAGATCGTGTCCGCTCTATATCTTGAGAACCGTTATGATTTCAAAGTTTATACTTGACATGTATATAAACCAACACCAGAGGGTGTGTCATAATTTATGTACAACTTCCTAGGTCAAAGGTCAAGGTCAAAAACTTTGGTTTTAGTTGACAACCCCATGTCCTATGGTTAAGATCGTGTCCGCTCTATATCTTGAGAACCGTTATGGTTTCAAAGTTTATACTTGACATGTATATAAACCAGGCATGGGGCGAATTACATTGCAATGTAATGCATTATATTACAATTACTTTGACAAAACCATGCATTAAATTACAATTACAATTACATTCATTTATCAAAGTAATGCATTATATTACAATTACTTTTGAAAAGTAATGCATTGAATTACACATTACATTTGTAAATTAAGTGAATAGAATAATCAAACATTTTGAAAAACAACATGAAGTCACAATTGCATATGCAGTAACTGTCCCATGTATTGATTTCAGTATGCATGTAAAATGTCTATTCAATACGACTATTACATTTTTAATTATTTTAACCTAATGTTAACTTTATATATTAAATATATACTTTTATAAATATACTTTTTTATTTTTCAATCAAAATATTTACTGAGAATTTCCTTCCTAATTATATAATAAACATAGAGCTTAATTAATGACCAATTGTGAAACTGGTGAACATTTGATTGTAAAACAAACAAATTAGTGTTTTACAACAATGTTCAATTATCTTTTATTTAATCATGACAAGGTATTCTTTGATCTTTTGAAAACAATGGAATACAGTAATGCTTTTCAAGTATCAATCTTTTTATGTAAGAAAATGTATGAAATCAAATGAAATAAAAAACAAAGAACTCAATCTGATATACAGAACAGTGTTGTATTATTCACTTATAGAGTTGTCATTTGGTCATTTCAGTAGTGATTTATGAAAAGGATGACAAAATAAATAGAAAATAGAAAATCAATATTCAAATGATTATGTTCTTAGTTAGTAAAGAAATCTAAAATTCTGCTTCAGTAAATCTCATCCAATATGTTAAAGATATATAGTATGTCAAAAAAGTAATGCCATGTAATGCAATGTAATTCATGAAATTACACACATTTTTGCTAAAGTAATGCATTAAATTACAATTACATGTAATGCAAAAATTGCTGCATTACACATTACATGCAATTACTTGGGAAAATGTAATGCATTACCATGCATTACAATTACAAATTTGCATTACCCCATGTCTGATATAAACCAACACCAGCTTCCTAGGTCAAGGTCAAAAACTTTGGTTTCAGTTGACAACCCCATGTCCAATGATAAAGATACAAATTTTTTACCACACATTATTCACAGCGGGGCCCACAGAGATGGCTCCCATCTCAATGATATCTAGTTAATACCTAAAGGACTACAAACCCAGTTAGACTCTAATAGCAACATCATCATCTGTCCATCAGTCTGTTTGTCCATTCAGTGGTCCAAAAGGAGGTTAGTTCTATGGTGTATTTTGACTAGTAAATGTAATAAAAATCAGAATATCACAATGTTTTATTTTGTATAATAAATTTGAAAGGCAAGTGATTGGTATTCATATGAGGAATACTGTGCCCCACTGACCCAGATATTGCAGATTTGTTCATTTACTGTTATTAATTGCAGGTTATGATTAATTCATAAACACCTACCGAACCACTACTTTATAGTACTTTTAACTATATCTGCAGATATTAAGACAACATATTTGAACTAAATTATTAAGATTTTTCTAAATATCCCTTTGAAATTTTTCTTCTAGAATTTACACTTACTAAATCCAATATTAAAAAGTAATTTTTGTCTTTTTTTAAAAGTGATACTAGAATTTCTCAGTGTATTCTTCATACCAAACTTAGGATGACATTTCCTTCTCTATTGTTGATTTTCCTTTCCTTGATTCATATATTATATTGGCTTCAAAGTCAACAAAAGCCTGTAATGAATTTCAGATAATAATTACACTACTTTTTTTATTGCATATTGTTCACAAAATTTATTTTTCTGGTTTTTGTTCATTTGTTACATAGATATGGTATAATTCACCTTTCAAATTAATGGTACAAGACTCCCCAGTAAATAATCTTGCACAACAAGACATCACCATGTATTTCCATTTTGTTACACCAATTTTCTTTATAAATGCCTGACAGAATTTGTGATCTTCAAAGAGATGATAGGTTTCCCCACTATGATATTCTATCATCTTCAAAGAAATGTCAGACATCCTTACAAGTAGAAAGGTTAAATAGAGTACATCTATATGGGTAAATGAAACATAAATACCGCAAAATTAGATTCCGTTTATTGGCACAATTAGTACCATAAATAAACTAGACAGTGAGACAATTGATATTTTTTAAAAAGGATAATTGGTGCAAATTGATTCTGGTCTGAATAAGGACATGTACTGACTCTTTGTAATTATCATTGAAACAATTTAGTGAACATATTGATGCCAGAAGTATTTGAGTTTTATGTGGCATTCATAAAGGAAGACAAACACTGTTACTGGATGAATACAAATAAATCTAATTATCACAAGAATGATTTATCATTGGTTTTTAAAAACACACAATCGCTATATTATGGCTGTTTAATTGTAGAAACTTGCATTGTTATTTGATTAAAAAGTCAACCACATAAATCAAATAGCAACTCTTATTTTATGAAAGGACATCTTGTTTTTGCCCTCTGGTACTAAGGGAAAGTAAACTTGAAGAACATTCTCATAAATTTGTTATCAATAAATAATAATGTTACAGACTTATTTGATGCCTCCAAATGATAAAGGTGAGGTGAAATATTTATATCATCAGCATATGGGTATATTTTTTTTTGTCAAGACATTAACATGCTGGTTTGGGATACATGTTGTTGATGTCAGAGCCATACATTTTGGAGTTATCTTTCCTTCCACTTTCAAAGAAGTATTAAGCCAAAACTATCTTTTGTTTAAATGCCTTTGATGCTATTTTTTAACATTGTATTTAAAAACTGATTTTTCTAAATTTTTGAATCTATCAATTTTACAGTACTATTTCTGGGTTTGTTGATCAGAATTTTTGTTTTTAATGAGGTGTGAGATCAAGGATCACTGTATACATTTAATAACTTCTTAGTGGGTGTCAAATAAATTTTCTGGTTTTCAGACAATGACTGAAAAATTGATGAAGGAAGCTGGGTATTTAGTTTTTGTATTTATTATTTTGTTGACTAGTATTTTTACCTGCCTCAATGAAGGTGGAAGCAGGTCTAGTAACCTCTTGACTCTAATACATAACTGAGGATGTATGTGCTGACTTTATGGAAATATATAACTTGCAACTATCTGATAGATATGTTGTTTATTTTCACCAGTGAGGTATTGTCATGAAACTAATATATCAAACCACCAAAAGTACTATGCTGAATGTCACAATAAAATTGTGTCCAGTAAAATTATGTTAAGATGAAAATCAGGATCTTCTTTCGTATGACCTTAAGTTTGGAAATCTCAAAACTGCCTAGACAGAACAGCCAAGTCTGTCAATAAGTATGAATAAACATGAGACATTGGGTATACATCAATGAGACCCCAATCTAACAACAAAGACTGACAACAAATAATGCATCTAGAGAGCTACATAGACAATGTCTCAGATAAATTAAATCAAGCTTGAATTGCCTAGTCCAGAAAAATTGTGAAAATTTAAACAGAAACTCCCAAAGATCTGCAATCAACACCTATTAATTTCATAAATAACCAAAACATTCAAATAAAACTATAA